GGGGGGGAGACGACTTGCGCTAATGTGTGCGCATGCTTGCTGATTTCTGACACTTTTTTTATGTGGTCACATTTTGTAAGCAGAGCTTTATAAAAGAATCACATGGTATGTGACAGGAGGGGATGGGATGTTCAACTTCTGACCAATCAGCATCTTGGAGCCACTACAGTCCAGGCACTTGGCTACGTTGGTTCTGTCAATCATGGGATAGTTGACAGTTGCTAAGAGTGTGGTGGCACTGACACCCCGGCCAAACCACACACTTCAGCTTTCAATAACATCATTTCCAGATCATCAGTTGTAATTACTTGCCACTCTTAATCTTTTTGAGATGTTTTTTTTGACCCAATTGATATAATTTACATTTGTACTTTATCTACAAACATATCTTGGACACAGCTCTGTGGATTTAACCTAAATGCCTCTGCTTTGCAACATGAGTTCTGTCTTTATACAATACAGTGTGCATTTTCCAGTGAGCACTATGTCCTTGGAAAAGTGTTATTGTGCCGAGTTGCTGTGGAGCAAGTATTGTAATCACTTCCTGAGGGAAGGTGGGGTTTGGGGTGGGGGCAGTAGTTGGAGAGGGTCCGTGCATGGTTCATTAATTAGAGAAAGAAAAGGAGAGGCGAGCAAGATGGAGGCTGAATAAAACAAGAGCATGGGTCAATTTGGGTCACTACTACATTCAAAAGCAAAGAGAAGCATTGTAACAGAGCTCAGGTTGAAAACCTCAGCAGAGAATGTGAAAGTAAAAAATTATTTACAAAAAAACAAACAAAAAAACAAAAAACAGAAAATTAGTGCTGTGCTTTGTGTTAATTAAAAGTCAGTGATGTGAGGTTCAGCCCTGTGGGATCATTAAAACCTGAACTACAGCTGTTTCTGCTTGCTCCGTCTTTGTTTTGTCGTACAGTGCTGCTAGTACATGTACTGAGGGAGTGGCAACAAGGAGGTACACTGAAGGGGGAGAGAGGGAAAGTAAACCATTGTTCCAAACCTGGTTACAAGGAAGTAGAGAGCTGGAGATATGTACAGTCATAAAAGGTGAGATTACAATGACTGTGTAAAAATAAAAGCAAACAATAAGCCGTTTCAAGCTGGTTCAAAAAAAATTCACCTGCTGCCTTGAAAATGGAAGTAAAATCAACTTAGGTTGAACAGTTAGTTCAGTGTTGTTCTGTGTTTTGAAATTTTTAAACTAAATCAGCTAACCAACTTCCAGATGCATGGGCACTCATTACAGACAGGTTTCTTTTACAGTTTAAACTGTCAGTTCTTTATCTGACATGAAAAGCTTCACAGCTGTAGCTGTTAAATGCAGTTTGTACCAAAGCAAGTACAAGTACAAAATATTAGATTACTCTAGTGTTGCACGATATACCGGTACTAGTATGGTACCGCGGTACTGAGGCATTTAAAATGGTACTATACTGCATTTGGATGGGACCGGTAATTGCAGCGCCCGCCCGCAACAGAGGAAAACAGAGCAGGAAACAGCTTCCTTGTCCTCTGCTCACTGAGCAGCGTGGACTGGAGCAACAAATGGAGCAGAAGGAAAGCTTGGAGAGAGCAGAGACGTTGGAGAGGGAGAG